TTTCAGTAAAACTTTTTATATTATCTGTTATTTTCTCTACCCTAACTCTGTACAAGGGTTGGTCAATTTGACCAACCTTGTAACCATAAAAAGAATTGAAATAAATCTAAATTACCCTCTTTTTCTTTCTAGAATGACTTCAAATGTAACATGAAACTACATTCATTTATCCTAAGTAGCTTTAAACTCATAACAGTATGCATCTATTTATAATTAAATTTTATTGTTTTATTGCCCTTTGAACCATGTGTAATTACTAGTCGTTGCCATTATAAGTTGGAAATCACTTTGGGAACATACAGTTTGTGTTACGCTATCGCATAACGTTACCCATGAGCTGATCATGTGCATGCCTCGTGAAATATTTTTATTATATTATTATTTATTTTACATAATCTAACCTTAACTTACCTAAAGAAATCCCTATTTTTACATTTTAGTAACTTTTATAATAATAAATAAGAATAAGCATGAAATAAAATACTTATTTGTGTATTCTTTGTTTTTTTGCTGTCGACTGTTGATGCCACTTAACCCTACTTTTTTATACTAATGCAAAAAATAATTTTTATTTAGTTAAATAATGCAGCATAGAACATAGAATAATAACATGCAAAAAGCAGACAAGTTCCTCTAACTATCACAATTTTTCTGGTTTTCTAACTCTGTAACAAGAGCCGTTACAAATTCATCCAAGCTAGTTGTTATCTTTCCTGTGGGAACGAAGCTTGTACTAACAGAGAAACTGACAATTCTCCTTTCAGAAAACAACTTAATACGATACCCCCATTTTATAGATGATAACCTTGGCTTCCTATTGGTTATGGATAATATAAAATTAAATATAAGAGAGAGAGAGAGCTATTAACAAATCCTGAAAGAGAGGATGTGACAGGTGGGTATGGTTGAAAGGGTCTGATTTTCTATTTGATAGCTCTGTAAACAAACAAAATTGAAGGCTATAAAAATTATGGTATTTCTGAGCAATGATGATTTTCTAGTGAGTAATTTATGTTTAATTTCATACATTTTGGAGGGGTGGTAGATAAAATAGAG